TAAATATAAAATAAATATAAATATAAATATAAAATAAAATATAAAATAAAATAAATATAAAAATAAACTAGTGGGTGGGTGGCATCGTGCCTTAAGGCAAATTGCTGGAACTTCCCGTACCGTAACGAAATGTTCGAGGAATACTGAATGTTTTCAAATAGATTATTATAAATATTGTAACATTGTCTAATATTTATAAGAATTATATAAACTGAATTGCAAAGTTGAAAATTATTGTTTCAACAAAAAACTAAAAAAAAAAAAAAAAAATCGAACAAAATTTTTTTTTCCAAAATCAATTATTTTGTTAAGACAAGCAGAAAGTTTTTTGAATCATTCAAATCGGACGCTTAGTTCTCTCAAAAACTGCCATTTTTTACATATTTAGCTCCGTATCTTTAAAATGGCTGGGCCTGCCTTTGCCAAAAACTATAAACACTTCTCCCAATCATTACTAATTGAATGTTTTTTAGATCATTCAAATCGGATACTCCGTTCTCTCAAAAATTCGATTTCTAATTTCCGCACTCTTTGCTCCGCATCTCCGAAACGGCTGGACCTGCCTTTGCCAAAACTAATCAGCTCTTTTCCCTATCAATAGGAATCGAATGTTTTTTGAACCATTCAAATCGGTTGATCCGTGCGCCCTAAAACGTGACTGGAAATTTGTATCCACACATACATACACACACACACACATACACACACACACACACACACACACATCCATTTTTTCTGAGGTATGCCAAAATGTTCAGAACCTTCAAAACGTCGAGAAATGTAAAAATTTTCAATTCCGATTTTCGGCCCATTACAATAACTTACCCTACGGGAAGTTAATATAAATATAAATATAAATATAAATATAAATATAAATATAAATATAAATATAAATATAAATATAAATATAAACATAAAAATAAATATAAATATAAACATAAAAATAAACATAAAAATAAAAATAAACATAAAAATAAATATAAATATAAATATAAAATATAAATATGGAAACATTAGAGAAAATCTACGTTAAAATTACATTCTTGTTAGCAAATATTTATATTTATATAAATATATAAATTTTATAAAATATAATGTCCTTCAATGCATTTATACATTTAATAAAAACTGGAAGAATTCGATTTGTCCGATTGGGTTATGTAATTGTATTTATACTTTTAATCCTGAATTGATAAAATATTCCAGTTCGATTTTAGTGCTTGGGACAGAAACATCATATCTTGTTTAATTTTAGTTGAATTTAATAAACACAAGTTTATAATATTTTAATTTTTTTTGAATATTTTAAGTGATTTTAAATTTTAAATTCGTCGAATTTTTAATTGAGGTGTTTCATGTGATAGTGTTATAAAATAAATAACAAGAATTTCCTTCTGTTTTTGTATTATTATTGTGGTGAGTAATATTCATATATGATATATTTATAGAGCAATATATATATATATATATATATATATATATATATGTATATATATAACTTTGTGGTTTTAGTCAAAAGAGTTCTATCAGACAGTGTGCAACTGTTGACATTTTTTTAGTTTTTGTCAAATAACTCTGAAATATTATATGGGAGCACATTTTTGAGATAGCTTAGCAGAAACTAGATAAAATTTAAAACATATTTATAAATATATATATTGATATTCCTTCAAAACCGTTACTATAATAATATATCTAATAGCGTATAAAGGAATCCAATAGGAATCCACTAAGATTCCTACTTTTCTAAGGCGATTGCATGCAGCGCCTCTATGCAAAATTGTTCCCAAATCGTGAGGAACTACGTAGTGACTACCGGGTTCATATGGTTCTGTGTTAGATGGCGCCAACGACGTCTTGACAGTTCTCCAATTTATACAGGATTATATATATACTAGCTGGCCCAGTTCGTATGGGAATTGGATATATAAATGTATATATTGATTTATACATGATTATATATACACTAGCTGTCTCAGTTTGTATGGGAATTGGATATATAAATGTATATATTGATTTATACATGATTATATATACACTAGCTGCCTCAGTTTGTATGGGAATTTGATATATAAATGTATATATTGATTTATACATGATTATATATATACTAGCTATCTCAGTTTGTATGGAAATTGGATATATAAATCTATATATTAATTTATATGTGATTATATATATACTAGCTGTCCCAGTTCGTATGGGAATTGGATATATAAATGTATATATTAATTTATACATGATTATATATATACTAGCGGTCCCAGTTTGTATGGGAATTGGATATATAAATGTATATATTGATTTATACATGATTATATATACACTAGCTGTCTCAGTTTGTATGGGAATTGGATATATAAATGTATATATTGATTTATACATGATTATATATACACTAGCTGTCTCAGTTTGTATGGGAATTGGATATATAATGTATATATTGATTTATACATGATTATATATACACTAGCTGCCTCAGTTTGTATGGGAATTTGATATATAAATGTATATATTGATTTATACATGATATATATATACTAGCTATCTCAGTTTGTATGGAAATTGGATATATAAATCTATATATTAATTTATATGTGATTATATATATACTAGCTGTCCCAGTTCGTATGGGAATTGGATATATAAATGTATATATTAATTTATACATGATTATATATACTAGCGGTCCCAGTTTGTATGGGAATTGGATATATAAATGTATATATTGATTTATACATGATTATATACACTAGCTGTCTCAGTTTGAATGGGAATTGGATATATAAATGTATATATTGATTTATACATAATATATATATACACTAGCTGTCTCAGTTTGTATGGGAATTGGATATATAAATGTATATATTGATTTATACATGATTATATATACACTAGCTGTCTCAGTTTGTATGGGAATTGGATATATAAATGTATATATTGATTTATACATGATTATATATACACTAGCTGTCTCAGTTTGTATGGGAATTGGATATATGAATGTATATATTGATTTATACATGATTATATATACACTAGCTGTCTCAGTTTGTATGGGAATTGGATATATAAATGTATATATTGATTTATACATGATTATATATACACTAGCTGTCTCAGTTTGTATGGGAATTGGATATATAAATGTATATATTGATTTATACATGATTATATATACACTAGCTGTCTCAGTTTGTATGGGAATTGGATATATGAATGTATATATTGATTTATACATGATTATATATACACTAGCTGTCTCAGTTTGTATGGGAATTGGATATATAAATGTATATATTGATTTATACATGATTATATATACTAGCTGTCTCAGTTTGTATGGGAATTGGATATATAAATGTATATATTGATTTATACATGATTATATATACACTAGCTGTCTCAGTTTGTATGGGAATTGGATATATAAATGTATATATTGATTTATACATGATTATATATACACTAGCTGTCTCAGTTTGTATGGGAATTGGATATATAAATGTATATATCGATTTATACATAATATATATATACACTAGCTGTCTCAGTTTGTATGGGAATTGGATATATAAATGTATATATTGATTTATACATGATTATATATATACTAGCGGTCCCAGTTTGTATGGGAATTGGATATATAAATGTTTATGTCGATTTATACATGATTATATATACTAGCTGTCTCAGTTTGTATGGCAATTGGATATATAAATGTATATATTGATTTATACATGTTTATATAATCGCAAAAATATTTTACTGAAAATTTTGGTTATCATGGCGACGAAAATCGCAAAAATATTTTACTGAAAATTTTATGGCCGTTGCCATAGCATATGCAACCACCCCTTTTCAGTTAGATAAGGTGAAACTAGATAAAATTTACAACATTTCCTGTGAAACACTTTTATACACTCCAATATAAAAGTTTTGAATTAAACGACTTTGAATTCGATATTGCATTTTTTAACAATATAAATAGAAAATTCGGGATATTTTTTTGGTTTTTGTCAACAACTTTTTTAATTATAATTTACCTTAATATAAAAAATAGAAAAAAAACGATAATGCAGAATGCAACAAGTTCAAAATAAATGTTAAACAAAAATTATTACTTACAACTAGTTGTCTCAAGAAATTAATACACAATAGTATTAAAACTTGTTTATTGATATAAAAAAAATTTACACTGCAAATCAATACAGTTGTCATTTTATTAAATAGTATTAATTAAAATTGATTTAAATTACTTAAATATATATCAATTGTTTATAAATTATTGGAACACTATTTTGTATGTGATATATTACATAACATTTACAAGTGATATGAATCTAAAGTCTTAGTTGCAAATATAATCACAGATATTTTTAATTAATCCTAAGTTTTGATCTGATAAATTTTGTAAATATTATTTAATAGAAAGTACAGTTGATGAGTAGTTTTACATATTATCTTACAATATTGAAGTACTCATAAATTATTATGTTGATTTCTTATTATAATTACTTACACATGTCGGAAAGTTCATGTCAGTTAGGTTAGGTTTTTATTCTTTTACTCATATTCTGGGTATAAATACTGATTGGTGCACATAAATACCATGTCAATTCCAAATAAATAAAAAAATAAATTAATTTATAATCTAAACTTCTATCCCATCATCCGATTGCATCCCTTTCTTCAACAATTCATTCTCCCTTTTCAAATTAGGCTTTTCAGTTCTAGTATGCCATACATAAACTTTCGTACACTTATCAGCCAGAGGCTCCAAATCCGCCACAGTTGTCAAATGCTTCAAAATTACGCTCTCCTGATAACCCCCTTGCACTCTAAATGAGAACTTAGCATCCGGTGTGTTCAGAATCAATTGTAAATTGATTGCAAAACCCGCCATGTCAATGGGAAAGGGCGTTCAGGTCTCCAAGCGCTGTTGAAACCTGTGACTTTACCAGTTTGTGGATCCACTAAAGGTCTTTCTACCTTCAAACCACCGACCAGACCAACCGGCCACACTCCTACAGTCTTAATCTTCCGCATTTCTTCAAATATTTTGATACTGTAACTGTTGTCATCGTCCATGAAGTAAATGACACCTTTGTCTTTGGAAGATAGGTTGTCTCGGAGCCATGTTAGGGCTGCATTTCGCTGTTCAACACCTCTGGGCTTTGACCAATGATCATCCTAAAAGAAATAAATGACAAAGTTTAATTTGTACAAAACTTATTGGTGTATCAAAAATCCAACCTTAGCTCCTAAGGCATAGGTTCGTGGAGTCTTTGCAAATAGGTGTGTGACTGACAAACCACTTTCTTCTAAAAATTTTGTCACCAAAGGTGTTTTGCTACTAGAGTCTTCTATAACTATCCAATGAAAATTGGGGACGTGCAACAAAGTCTGAGATAACCTAAAATAAAATTATTTGAATTTACATAACAACATAAGATATTACGACTATTTAGTCTATTATTACCTGGTTAGTTCTGCTTTTTGTTCGCCCCTTGCATAAGTAGGAGTAATCCCATAAATAATAGGATCATTTACACTAACTAATTTATCATTTCTAATTTTCGATATTTGATTTATGACAACACATTGTTCTTTATGGCCCGATGATAATAAATATAAAATTAAACAATTGGCTATGAGTATTATTACAGCAATCTTTTTACTTATTACTAATTGAGAATTGTTTGCCATCGTCATTATTTTTTTTGGTTTGAAACGTCAACATGACAGGTGAAAGTGACAGTTGATGGAGGAGAGATTTTTGCGCGCCAAATTCAAATTTATAATACTTATTATAATACGCATTATAAATTATACACTTGAATGGCAGTTTTGGTTTGGTTTTATTTATATTTACTCTATAATTTGACGTCGTGTAGATTTTTTTAGTTTGGAACGTCAACTGTCAAGTTGCAAAATGGTGGACATGACAGTTTGAGATCGACATTTTTACGCGCCAAATTCAAATGTATAATGTTCAAACTTACAATATCAAATATAAATTTAAAGTATTTTAGATAAATGAATATTTTTATATTGAACAACTATTTTTTCGAAGAATATGCATAAATAAATAACTAATCTTAATCAATTATAATGATCAAACAAGCAATTTAACATATATTTAAAGTAATTTTACATACTCGAATATATATGAGTGCTTATTTAGATATAAATATTTACAATCAATATTTAGAGTAAGTTTATTTAATTTCATGAATTAAAATGATACTGATGTGAATTGTTCTTAACATACTAAAATAATTACAGTAATTAAAGTATTTTTTATTTATTACAGTAGTGTTTTATGTGCCTCATTATAATATTATCTTCACACTATTAGTTTAAAAAATATTAAAAACACAAAAATGCAATATTCAAATCTTAAAATAAAAAATCTTACATATACTTCAAAATGCATACAATTGTAAAGTAAACAATTGAATTCAAATAAAATATATACTAAATATAATATCTATTATAATGCAAATTTCAAACAAATATTCATTAAAACAGTTTTAATAGATATTTAAATACTCTATTATATAATTTAAATTCAAAAACCGTTAAACACCCATAGTTTGTATAAGCCCCAAGCAGATGGCACCACAAGTCTTCAACGATTGGCTATCTATATAACTTCACTTTCATCTTATCTATGTTCACTTTGGTTTTGACAGTTGACGCATAAGTTTTCTGTTGAGATTTTTATAAGTCAGTCACAAAACGGTTTTTATACAGCATTTTACCAAATATTTTAACACGAACGACTATTTTAAAGTATTAACATTCTCAATAATCTTCTACACCATTGTCTGTAATAAACTTTATTGTGTACTATAAATAATACTTCATTTTGCATTATTTGTTTCAATAGAGGTTATCTAACCGTCATCCATCTGAAATCTGGAATTGTACATAAAGTTTGTATTTAATATAAACTTATTTTAATCATCGTACTGTTAGTTTATTTAAGTTAGTTGATGCAAATATAATTTGGAAAAAATGTCGTCGAATAAAAGTAAAGAGGTGCAAAATTTTATTGAACAAAGACGCTTGGAGAGGTTGGAGAAGGCTAAACAGAGAGCAGAGAAGGTAATATAAATATATATATATATATATATATATATATATATATATATATATATATATATGTATATGTATACAGGGTATCCCAGAATTCAACATCAAGTAACGATTGTAAACAAAGTTATTCCATGCATATTGAAAGCTATTAGTTTCTAAGGGCATTCGAGAGCTTTGGTCAAATTGTAACCAATTTTTAGGTTATCGTGGTTCAATGTTTTTATTTCCGTAACCATTAATACAATTTGTAGGAACACAGTCAAAATCAATGACACGATTGCTAGAAGTTTGGTAGATTTAAGTCTGTTTGTTAATCTATGAGTTTAAAGTTAGTCGTTGCTTAAAAAAATGTACTGAAGTGCCTTGTTAAGTTTTAACGAAAGTTTGTCCAGTTAATGTGGATTGTAAAAAGGTACATCACTTGTTTGCTTCATACTAAAAAAACAAATCCATTTTACTTTTCACAATTAATGCTGCAATTGCTTTTTATTCGGCTTGATGTTGAATTCTTCTTGAGTATAATATAAATTAAATAAATAATTCAGGGTGTTCCAGAACTCAATGTCAAGCCGAAATGGGGTAATAATATTGGGTAAATAAAAGTACATCACTTGTCGGTTTCATACTAAAAGAAACAAATGCATTTTACTTTTTACAATCAATGCTGTAATTGCTTTTTATTCGGCTTGATGTTGAATTCTGGGACACCTTGAGTACAATATAAATTAAATAAATAATACAGGGTGTCCCAGAACTCAATGTCAAGCCAAAAAGGAGTGAACTAAAGAACTAAATGCATTTCATACTAAAATACCAAATGCATTTCACTTTTCACAATTAATGCTGTAATTCGCATTTATTCGGTTTGATGTTGAATTCTGGGACATCTTGAATATGATATAAATTAAATAAACAATACAGGGTGTCCCAGAACTCAATGACAATCCGAAAAGGAATTATAGTATTGGCTGTAACTGTCCTCAAAAAATTTAGGAGAAAAATTTATCTCACGTTTGGAAATTATGATCTTCTCCGTACAAACTAGAGCTTTCATCAAACTGTAACCATTTTTGGGTTATTGTGGTTAATAATTTTACAAGTTTATAATTTAAAAATTTAATAATTCTAAAGTTTATAATTTAAACTTTAGATCTGTAACCGTAAATAACATTTCTACGACCACATGCTAAAATAATGACACACTGATTGCTTTGAGTATGTTAGAATTAAGGGTATTTGTTAAACTGTGAGTTTAAATTTTTTAATATTAATCGACTTTGTAAAGCTGTCTTTATGAAAAATGTACTAAAGTATTATGGTAAGTTCCAGTAAAAGTTTGCGTTATTAATCAGGTTTTCAAATGGTACAATAAGATTTATAGGAACATTTTGTTAGTTTCATACTCAACAAACAAAATACGGGACATTTTTTTACTTTTTCTCAAATATTTCAAAAACTGTTTATGGGGGCACTCTTTTTCAGTCAGGTAGGGTGAAACTAGATAAAATTTACAACATTTTCTTGGGAACACTTTTATGCACTCCGATATAAAAGTTTTGAATAAAACGACTTTCAATTTGATATTTCATTTTTTAGATATTTAGAATAAATAGAAAATTCTGGACATTTTTTTGGTTTTTGCCAAATATTTCAAAAACTTTATATGGGGGCGCTCTTTTTCAGTTAGCACAAATAAAATTAGATAAAATTTACAACAATTTTATAAAGTTGCACACAGTCCGATATAAAAATTTCGAATAAAACGACTTTTATATTATATTAAATACATTTGCATATCAAAATTTTGTATGAAACTACTTGTAAAGCAACATTGCCTTAAAAATACTAATTGGACTAGATCTCGGGACATTTTTGTAGTTTTTATTAAATAACTTGAAGATTTTGTTTCAGACACCCTGCTTTAGTTACAAAAATAAAATCTAGATCAAATTTACTACAGTTTAGCAAAATGTATTATATACACTTGTATATCGAAATTATGAATAAAACTACTTATAAAGCAGTAATGTCTTAGTGATACTTAGTTTGACTAGAACTCAGGACATTTTTGTAGTTTTTATTAAATAACTTGAAAATTTAGTTTCAGACACCCTGCTTTAGTTACAAAAATAAAATCTAGATCAAATTTACTACAGTTTAGCAAAATGTATTATATACACTTGTATATCGAAATTATGAATAAAACTACTTATAAAGCAGTAATGTCTTAGTGATACTTAGTTTGACTAGAACTCAGGACATTTTTGTAGTTTTTATTAAATAACTTGAAAATTTAGTTTTAGGCACCCTGATTTTATTACAGAAATGAAATCTAGATAAAATTTACTACAGTTTAGCAAAATGTATTATATACACTTGTATATCGAAATTATGAATAAAACTACTTATAAAGCAGTAATGTCTTAGTGATACTTAGTTTGACTAGAACTCAGGACATTTTTGTAGTTTTTATTAAATAACTTGAAAATTTAGTTTTAGGCACCCTGATTTTATTACAGAAATGAAATCTAGATAAAATTTACTATAGTTTAGCAAAATCTATTAAATATACTTGCATATCAAAATTTTGAAAAAAACTAGTTATCAAACATCATTGTCTTAACAAAACCTAGTTGGACTAGTTTCTTACTAAAAAAAAAACAAATGCATTTTACTTTTCACAGTTAATGCTGTAATTGCTTCTTATTCGGCTTGATGTTGAATTCTGGGACACATCGAGTATAATATAACATAAATTAACTAGTGGTGTATGGCATCGTGTTTTAAGGCAAATTGCTGGAACTTCCCGTACCTTAATGAAATATTCAAAACAAACAAATACATTTTACTTTTCACAATTAATGCTGTAATTGCTTTTTATTCGGATTATTTTTCATATGTTGAATTCTGGGACACCTTGAGTATAATATAAATTAAATTATTTAGTGGTGTAAGGCAAATTGCTGGAACTTCCTGTACAGAAATTAAATATTCAAAAGATATTTAATGTTTTCAAATATATTATTCTAAGTACTGTAACTTTATTATTTATATTTTTTGATGTTGAATTCTGGGACACCTTGAGTATAATTTAAATTAACTAGTGGTGTATGGCATCTTGCCTTAAGGCAAATTGCTGAAACTTCTCGCACCTTAATGAAGTATTCAAAGGATATTAAATGTTTGCAAATATTTTATTCTGGGTACTGTAACTTTTATTATTCAATTCTGGGACACCTTGAATATAATATAAATTAAATAAATTAGTAGTGTATGGCATCGTGCCTTAAGGCAAATTTCTGGAACTTCCCGTACCGTAATGAAGAATAATTCAAAGGATATTAAATGTTTTCAAAGAGATTATTCCAAGTACTGTAACTTCTATTACTCATATTTTTTATGTTGAATTCTGGGACACCTTGAGTATAATATGAATTAAACTAGTGGTGTATGGCATCGTGCCTTAAGGCAAATTGCTGGAACTTCCCGTACCAAGAATTAAAATTTCTAAAAAAGTTTCAATTTTCTTTTAGAATTTTGATAAAAATCGATCTTTGAGATTTTTAAAATTTTTGAAAAGAAATTGACCTTTTTGAAAATTAATATTTTTTTATACTTTAGAAATATTTTGGAAATTTTAAACTTTTTTTTCAAAGCGCGATATGTTAGCTGTGTAGAAACGAAATATCGAAGCGCGTTGGCGCCGCGTCGCTGTATTACGAATAAACATTGGTACGGAACCTATAGAAAATTAAACAAAATTTGTATTTGTTACTACAATTTTATAAAATATGTGATAATTTGATGTGCATATGTCTAATGATCATTTTTGTCCGGCAATTGCATTTTTATCACTTTTTTTTATTGGATCTCCGAAACTGCTAGACCTGCCTTACCAAAAATCTCATTATCAATACAAATAAATTGTTTTTTGAATCATAAATCGGACGCCCCGTTCTCTCAAAAAATAATTTATCATTTTTGGCACTTTTTGCTTCGTAACTCCGAAACGGCTAGATCTGCCTTTGCCAAAAACTGATCAGCACGTCTCCTTATCAATAGGAATCGAATGAATTATTGAATCATTCAAATCTGATGCTTAATTCTCTTAAAAACTACAATTTTTTACACATATAGCACGTCACACACACATCCATTTTTTCTAAGGTATGCCAAAGTGTTCAGAAACCCCTGAAACGTTAAAATATGCAACAGGCCGAAAATTGAAAATGAAAATTTTTGCATTTCTCGACGTTTTGCAGGTTTCTGAACATTTTGGCATACCTCAAAATTGATGTGTGTGTGTGGGTGTGTTTTGTGTGTCCGCATTTTTTCGTCCACGTTTGTGAGCGCACGGATCAACCGATTTGAATGGTTCAAAAAACATTCGATTCCTATTGATAGGGAGATGTGCTGATTAGTTTTTGGCAAAGGCAGGTCCTGCCGTTACGGAGATACGGAGCAAAGAGTGCAGAAAAAATAAATCGAGTTTTTGAGAGAACGGAGCATCCGATTTGAATGATCTAAAAAACATTTAATTTGTAATGAAGGGTAGAAGTGGTGATTAGTTTTTGGCTAAGACAGGTCCCGCCATTTCGAAGATGTAGAGCTAAATGTGCAAAAAATCACAGTTTTTAAGTAAACTAAGCGCGGCCGATTTGAATGATCTAAAAAACTTTCTACTTGTATTGACAAAACAATTGCTTTTGAGGATAAAAAATTATTACATCTTTTTTTATTTTCCATAAATAATTTTTGTAATTTTGGATTGAAAATTCAAAAAATTACCCAAGCTAAGAACAGTCTAAGCGCCACTCTGATGCAAATGTTCACCCAAGTGCGTTTAGACTGTTTTTGTACTGGAGCATTTTTTCAATTTTGTGAAAATTATTGAAAAATGTGGAAATGCCGCCAAGCTAAGCACAGTATAAGTGAAAATGTCGCACAGAATTATTTGCAAATGCGTTTAGACTGTGACTATATGGCAGCATTTTTTCAATTTTCAATTTTCAGTGCAAATTAGGCAACTTTTTTTTTTTTGAAATTGAATTCGAAATGAAATGACGATTGTTAATGTTCTGGAGATAAATTGATTTATGATTTACATTTGATTTGCTCAGATATAACAAGGTAGCAAAAATAATGGAAGCTACAGTATTTGTAATAATATATTTGAAAACGTTTAAAATTTCTCGAATATTTCATTACGGTACGGGAAGTTCCATCAATTTGCCTTAAGGCACGATGCCATACACTACTAGTTTTTGTTTTTTTGTGATTACTATAACTTACCCTAACTAATAAATCAAATTTATTCCTTTTCAGGTTCGTGATATGAAACTGAAAAAAATCAACTCCCAAGGTCCATCCATCATAAGTCGACCTTCAAAACTTCAAGCAAGACCTTCATTCGTGAGAGCAGCATCAGCACCTCAGGTTCGACAAACAAAAACATCTCAAAAACGAATTGATATCATAAATTATAACTTTCCCGAATACGAACAGTTGAAGCTCGAAGTTTCACAAATCATTTCGAAAGCTAATGAAACTATTGCTTCTCTTCAGATGGAAGAGATAAATGAAACCGAAGAAGGTAATGGAAATACTGGAGCTGGGTTAAATGATACTCAAAAAGGGGGGATGGATTTAAATAAATTTAAGCATGTATCAGAAAGAACGAAGGCGACACAAAAATTGGATAGTTTGGTTAATAAAAATGTGCAAAAGAATGCAAATGGAAAGGGTGTAGATTCAAAATCATCCATAACTAGTAATCAAGAAAATGGACAAGTTGGGACAAGTGAAAAATTTGGTCAAAATCTGCCAATTGGGCACAGAAATGCAGATGGGAAGGTTGTAGATTCAAAAACATCTACAACTGGTAATAAAGAAGTTGAGACAACTGAAAATTTAGATGCTGTTCTTAAGAGAAAATTGGTAATTACTAACAAAGGAGATTTGGAAAATCATCAGAAAGGTGCAGATTCAAAACAGTCATCTTCTGATAGTCAAGTTGAAGTTAAGGTTGAGACAAATGAAAAAATAAATGCTGTTTCAAGCAAAAAAATGGTAAATGCTAACAAGAAAGGAGACTTGGGTAATCTTCAGAAAGGTGCAGATTCAAAACAGTCATCTTCTGATAGTCAAGTTGAAGTTAAGGTTGAGACAACTGAAAAAATAAATGCTGTATCAAGCAAAAAAATGGTAAATGCTAACAAGAAAGGAGTCTTGGGTAATCTTCAGAAAGGTGCAGATCCAAGAACTTCATGTGCACCTGGTAATCAAGGAGGTGCCAAAGTTGGGACAACTGAAAAATTAGATGGTGTTCAAAATAAAAACAAGGAAAAAAACTTGGGTAATCTTCAGAAAGGTGCAGGTCTTTCTGATAGTCAAGTTGAAGTTAAGGTTAAGACAACTGAAAAATTAAATGATGTTCCAAGTAAATTTGCAGTTGCCAACAAGAAAGGAGACTTGGGTAATCTCCAGAAAGGTGCAGATTCCAAAAGTTCGTCTACATTTGGTGCCAGAGTTGAGACAACTGAAATTTTGGATGCTGATCAAAGCAAAAAATTGGTAACTGTCGACAAAAAAGCAGATTTAAATAATATTCTCAAAGGTGCTGGATTCCCAAGAGCCTCATTTACACCTGAGGCAACTAAAAAAATAGATGATGCTCAAAATAAAAATGCAGTTTTTGGTAACAGGAGAACAGATTCATCTAGTCTTCAGAAAAATGAAGATCCAAGATCTTTCTTTACTGGAAAAATAGATACTGCTCAAAATAAAACTGCTGTAAATGGTAACAGGAGAACAGATTTGTCCAGCATTCAGAAAAGTGAAGATCCAAGAGATTTTTTTACTGGAAAAACAGATGCTGCTCAAAATAAAAATGTGGTAAATGGTAACAGGAGAACAGATTTGTCTAGTCTTCAGAAAAATGAGGATCCAAGATCTTTCTTTACTGGAAAAACAGATGCTGCTCAAAATAAAAATGCTGTAACTGGTAACAGGAGAACAGATTTGTCTAGTCTTCAGAAAAATGAAGATCCAAGATCTTTCTTTACTGGAAAAACAGATACTGCTCAAAATAAAAATGCTGTAACTGGTGACAGGAGAACAGATTTGTCTAGTCTTCAGAAAAATGAGGATCCAAGATCTTTCTTTACTGGAAAAATAGATGCTACTCAAAATAAAAAAGTGGTAAATGGTAACAGGAGAACAGACTTGTCCAGTCTTCAGAAAAGTGAAGATCCAAGATCTTTCTTTACTGGAAAAATAAATGCTGATCAAAATAAGAAAATGGGTGACACAAGAGATTCTTTTATTCCTGAAAAAATAGATGCTGCTCAAAATAAAAATGCAGTTATTGGTAACAGGAGAACAGATTTGTCTAGTCTTCAGAAAAATGCGGATCCAAGAGCTTTCTTTCCTGAGACAACTGGAAAACCAAATGCTGACCAAAATAAGAAAATGGGAGACACAAGAACTTCTTTTGCACCTGAGGCAACTAAAAAAGTAGATGCTTCTCAAAATAAAAATGCAGTTATTGGTAACAGGAGAACAGATTCGTCTAGTCTTCAGGAAAATGCAGATCCAAGAGCTTTCTTTCCTGAGACAACTGGAAAACTAAATGCTGACCAAAATAAGAAAATGGGAGCCTCAAAACTAGATGCTGCTCAAAATAAAACAATGGTAACTGGTAAGAAAGCAGATTTGTGTCATCTTCAGAAAATTGGAGACTCAAGAGCTACTTTTATACCCGAGACAACTGGAAAAATAAATAAACTGTTGGCAGATGCTAATAAGACAGCGGATTTGTGTCATCTTCAACAAGACCCAAGAGATTCCTTTATCCAAGATGATAATTTATCTCTCAACGATCCCCAAGGCATGGAGATAACAATAAAATTAAATTTACCATCCATGAATTTTGATGACCAAAATTGCTCAATCAACACGTCAGTAAGAAATAAGTCCAGGAAACAGTGGCGCAGCCCCAAACCTTTGCCAATAAATGCAATTAGCAAAAATGTATCCACCAAAAAATCTGGTCTGCGACGTTCTTTATCAGCAACTGATATTCAGAGCCCCAGTTTAAAATTGAAACACCGGTCGAAGTCTACCCATAGACTTGATGGTGATAATTGTAAATTTGTTAATCGGCCAAGCATGAAAGTGGAGCACCGATCCAAGTCTTCGACAAGACTTGATGTGCCTCCACCAGGTACGCCAAAGGCGTGCAAGACTCCTAAACCAATAGATTTACAGAAAAGACTGATAAACTGGTTGAAAGCGCATGGAAAGGAAGTGAGTGCGTATAAAAACCTGCACTTGTTTGGCACCAGAAAAAGTATTTTACCTAAAACTCCGAAACCAACGAGTGACAAGGAAAACATCATCGTCCTAAGCGACGACGAGGACACTAAAAATACAACCACCAACCCTCTTGGTCTAAACGAGACATTCGATTTCGGAGAAGACCTCATCAAGAAAGACACCGAACTTCGTACTGCCCAAAGCATCCTGGAAGACCTGTACTCTCTTATCCTCGACAACTACCCCAAAGACCAGTGTCAACAATGGTTGCAAACCATCAAAAGACGTTACGATGCAGTCAAGGAGTTATCAGTGTTCTGGGAATGCAAAGCTCTCCTGGATACTGACGAAGGTGACTTCAAATCAGCAATCGATTGTTACCAAAAGGCCCTGGTTGCTGGTGCTGAACAGTTGAATGTTGAGAATAAATTGTGCACGCTTTTTGATAAGATGTGCTCTTTGAATATCGATCCGAAGAGTTTGGCACAAGTCGATGGGATGAAAAGTTCCAGGGAATACGAGAATGGGAATGATTTTGCTTCGAGTGTTATCAAGTTTGCTGTTTGTAAATCCAGGTTAGTAAAAATATCATTAAAATTATATATATATATATATATATATATATATATATATATATATACTAACTAACGCGGCAAACGTTGTTTTGCTAAGTAAGGTATATTCTAAACAATTTCTAGAGAATCACAAATATCAATACTTTAAGTGTGTATAAGGATGTGTTGTTTGAATTCTATATACAATGAGGTATTATAAAAACAATAAATCCCATTAACTTGTCTATATTTTGTCAATACAATCAAACTGGAAGTTTTATACACTTTCTATAGAAAACATTATATAATCCAATCCAAGTCTTTTTTGGTCTTTTGACTTATTGATTACGTTTCAAGTTTTTCAGATTTTTTTTGGATTCTAAATTTTGCATATAATTGTAAATAATACTACTGAGCTTATACAAAAATTTTAAATTTCTGCGAGGATAGATAAAAAATGAATTAAGTATTTCTTTATTGACCTGCTTTTTGAAAATTTTCAAGTAACATTCGATGAATGAAAGTAATTTTAATAAAAAGTACTATGGATTTTCAAAGATTACCCTTTAATTTCCGATAGTAAAGTCATAAGAATCAAGGTTGTCGCTGTTTATACATCTTTTTCCCTCTACTTTCAAATATTGTTGTTGAACAATGCTTAACTTTACTGATTTTTGACACATCGGTCGTGGACCTTTTTAACACCGGACCTTAACATATTACTATCTATTCTTCGATAAATTCTGGGAAATTATAACTGGGAAAATGTTATTCGACAAAATGTCCCTTTGATCGATACCAAATTTAGGTTCTGAATTGAAATAACATAAATAAAAAATAATATAACCTAGAAAATGTTTTATAAATACCAATGAGTATATAATTATATGAATGAGATCTTTGAGAGCACCGTGTTTGAGAAAAATATGCCAGAAAATGCATTTTCATATTAACATTTCAAAAAAGATGTTATTTTTAGTTTCTAGTAACACTTGCAATCCGTTTAATAACGTTTTTGTATACAAATATAACCACAAGCCAAACTACTTACTACATAATTTAATATTATTCACGTAAAACATCCTATTAAACTTAATTGAACATCATGTGTCTTAAACGTTTGACATTTGACGTATTAGCCACCGTCCATTGTTTTATTCAAATTACGCTTCTACAAAAATTTTCAAATTAAAAATGTAAAGTTTCTACGCGATTTTGAAATAATATCTCACCTTTATGACTACCTACTGATTAGCACGAATTTTTCAAGACTAAGACTGGCCAAATCGGTTTAGCCGTTTTCGAGTTTTAGCGGATCATTTGATCGAGAGCTTCATTTTTATATATAAGAATATATATTTCTATAGTATTTTACAATTTATTTTTTCTTGCAGGAAAAACAAGAACGAGCAGGAAGACAAAACCTACTTTGTCACACCAGTCCGAAGAAGTTCCAGACTCTGGACAAAAACACCAACATCGGCGACGCCTTTCGGAAACATACAGTATGTATCATCACTTAATACACTTGATGAGAATGTGCGAAAAGCTATCAAATTTACCCCAAACAAAGCTCTTTAAAAATATATAATAACTATCTTAATTTTAATCCTTACATACACTCTATTATTTATATTTAATGAAGTTATAATAAACACATTTTTATACTTAAATCAATATTTATTATTTATATCATTTATAAAAATTAATAACAAAGTAGTGCAAGGCATTGATATTTTTTTTTAAATATTTATATACAAATATATCTACCAAATAAAAATTTATGTTCCTCGGTATGTTGTGTACCCGAATGGACTGAGCAGAAGTGGGATGTGGTAGTGCTCTTGGGGTGCACGACAATCGAAAACAATCTGAAAAACAAAAATATTTTATGTATAATTAACTTTTACACTGTAATAGAGATTCTATTATTTACCTCTATAAATGGGTATAAGGTCTCTTGTTTGCGCAGTTCAAAAAACTTGTCGACATCAAAATGCAACTTATAGCGGCCTGCTGTAAAGTTACTTCTTTCCATTAAATCAGCACAACGGCCATCAGGGTTTGTCATTCCTTCGTTGACGAATGTCCATCTTCCGTCGACTAATTTGTAGAGAGACACCTGGGTAAAATATTAGTATTTATTGGTCACGTGATCGATTTTTCAATGATTTTTAGACACCCCCTCTCCCTTGGTGATATTCAAAAGTCCCCTCCTCCCCCCACCAGAGGGAAATTTGAAAAAAATTCATATTTTTTTAGTGTTTGGATTTTTTCTAAATATTATTATCCATTAGTCACGTGATCGATTTTTCAAGGATTTTTAGATCCCGCCTCCCCCTTGGTGGCATTCAAAATTAGCCCTCCTCCCACCACCAAACATCACAGGGAAATTTAACACCTGGGTAAAATATTATTATCCATTGGTCACGTGATCGATTTTTCAAGGATTTGTAAATCCCTCCTCCCCCTTGGTGATATTCAAAATTACCTCTCCTCCCCCCACCAAACATCCCAGGGAAATTTGTAATTTTTTTAATTTCTTTTTTAAAAAATCAGGTAAAAAATAAATGCACGTGATATCTTACTATACTTTGTCAAAGTACCCTCCCCCCTTCTCCTAAAAATTTCACGTGATTAATGAACGCCCTGAATGAAACTTAATCACAAATCATTTTATCTGGAAGTTTCCAAAAACTTTAAAAATTTTCAAATCGGTTCAGCTGTTTTCAAGAAATTTGTTTTTAAGATTGAAAAGAGACTCTACTGACGATTAAAATGAAACAAGAAAGGGACTCCACGGACATTTCACTTGTATTTTTTACTGTCAAATTTAACTGAAATTTCTAAAATTGTATCATTTCCAATACGAACTGAGATTTTTAATATTGCCTATAACCTAAGTTGGATCTAAGTGTACAGAGAGAGCAAATAAAATTTAAAATCGGTTCAGTAGTTTAGGAGTCTTTTGGGGTCAAATATCGCGATATTTATTAATTTTGTTACCTGTAACCCGCCTACAGCTTTTCCTTTAGCTGTGTCCAGTACATGGGTGCTTATTGGGGGTTTTTGGGCTGAAGCAGCAGCGGCGGCAGCGTCAGCAGCTTGCTGAAAAAAAGATAAAATATTTAACTATTTACCAATATGAATACTTAACTTCCTAAAAGAGTAGTATTAAAGAAAATCCGATTTGCTAAATTTCTTGTTTGAAGTCATTCTGAATCGTTTGACATTGTAATTGAAGAAAAACAATGTGTGTGTCTGTGGAGTCAAAATTTTACATTTTGACGAAGAAGAATTTTTATAAGTGAGAAACTTTTTGTAGGCCTATAAAATTTGTTGAAACCATTAACTTTTTCATTGTGCTTTTTTTTTAAACTTTGAATATATATATATATATATATATATATATATATATATATATATATATCTTTTTGAATTTCCAAAATCTGTTCAAGATTGTTAGTCGAAAAATTTTGATCTATTTTAAATTTTGATTTTTTTTTTAATTTTGAATATATATAAATATCCTTTGAATATTTTTTTGGTTTTCCAAAATCGGTTCAAGATTTAGTCGAAAAAAGTCTTTTTTTTATTTTGAAAAAACGACTCGGCTGATCGTCTCACAAAACTAATCAATACGAGTCTTTATACAGCTTCAACAAAAAATTGAAATTTTTCAAATCGGTTCAGTCGTTTTTGAAAAAACGTCGACGAAAGGTCAAATTTTGGTTCACTTTCTACAATTTTAAAAAATTAATAAATTAGATTGTTTTGGTAAAACAATTTTTTCTTTCGGGGAGTTAATAATTTTAAACATCTTTAGAGCCATACGTTTGGACATATGATTTTATGTCATCCTCAGTGAAAAATTAACTAAGTTCAGAGAAACAAATAGCTCTTACTTTTCCAATTTCAGTGTCAAACGATTCAGAATCACTTTAAATGCCAAGAGAACTATGAAATTAACAAATCAAATTTTTATGGTCGAAAAAGCAGATATTCTTTCAGAAAATTCTAATAATTTTGGAAACCCATACGTTTCGACATATAATTTTAAGTCATTCTCAGTGAAAAATTAACTAAGTTCAGAGAAACAGCTCTTGCTTTTCCAATTTCGGTGTGAAACGATTCAGAATGACTTGAAATTCCAAGAATACTATGAAATTAACAAGTCACATTTTTATGATCAAAACAGCAAATATTCTTTCAGAAAATATTAATGATTTTGGAAATCTTTACACCCATACGTTTCGACATATGCCATGCTCAGTGAAAAATTAACTAGTGGGGTGCATGGCATAGTGCCTGACGCAAATTTCTTGAACTTCCCGTACCGTAATTAAAAATCTTGGTACGGAACCCAAAAAAATTCACACACAATGTGTACACAATATTAAAATCTCTATAAAATATCTTATCATTTAATGTACATATGTCCAAGAAACATTTTTGACCGCCAAATGACATTTTTTTTAAAATATTTTTATTGAGAGTCCATAACCGCTGGACCTGCTTCCCAAAAATTTGAACAGTTCTTCATCTTGTCAATACAAGTGTAATGTTTTTTGAATTATTCAAATCGGACGCTCCGTTCTCTTGAAAACTGAGTTACCGTTTTTGGCACTTTTTGTCCCGTATCTTCGGAACGGCTAGACCTGCCTTCGCCAAAAGCTAATCAGCACGTCTCCTTATCAATAGAAATCGGATGATTATTCAAATCGGTTGATCGGTGTTCCTGAAATCGTCGACGAAATTTGTATCCGCACTCACACATACATCCATTTTTTCTAAGGAATGCCAAAATGTTCAGAAACCTTTGAAACGTATATTTACGTATATTAAAATTTTCATTTTCGATTTATTTTGCGATTACTATAACTTGCCCCTACGGGTAGTTAATAAGTTCCAGAGACACAAATAGCTCAAACAAGTTTGACTAAACTTGTAATCTTATGTATCTAAATATATCGACAAAAGGTCAAATTCTGGCTTCACGAAATGTCACATACACACCATACACTCACTTTTCTTACAATTTCGGTGTCAAACCGAATCCAAATCGGATTTTGTTTTGGAAAATCTTTGAAATTTTGAACTTTGAAATTAATATGACAGATACTTTTGACCTATGAATTTTATAAAGTCTTCAGTCATACAATTTCAGTGAACAAGTAATTTCAGAGACAACAAACACAAATAGCACTTCTCATCTTACGGATATGTGTAATTTTACATCACATTTTTTTTTAATAAATAATACCCAATAAAGATCACGATCGAACTGTCTGCAAACGAAGATTCCGAGAATAAACATTAGTAAACATATTTGAAAATTATTCCAAGTCCACCATATGGAGCTAAACATTTTCTCGAATATGACCACATTATCAAATAATAAAAGTATCATAGAAATAATTACATAGAATAACGTATCTTTTTTTATAAACATATTTCTCAAGTAAATGTAAGATTTTGTAATTATTAACACTGCGATGAAAGTGGCAACATGGCATATTGGAGTAAACTGTTATAACGCACGTGGGTCGGAGATTTTTATATACATTCACATGTATATATATATATATATATATATATATATATATACTAGCTGACCCGGCAAACGTTGTTTTGCTAAGTAAAGTATATTCTAAACAATTTCTAGAGAATCAAAAAATATTAATACTTTAAGTGTATAAGGATGTGTTGTTTGAATGCTATACACAATGAGGTATTATAAAACAATAAACTCCATTTAGTTTGTCTATATTTTGTCAATACAATCAAACTGAAAGTTTTATACACTTTCTATAGAAAACATCGTATAATCCAATCCAAGTAATTAAAGTAAATTTAATAAAAAGTATATATGTAGAGCAGGGCGAGGCACAAAGGTCCAATTTAACTTTGAGCAAATATAAACTATATTGTGAAAACCATAACAATTATATCACAACAAATAACAAATTTCAAACGAACAATCATCTGACCACGTTCAGTAAAACTGCCAGCTACTTCATCATTGTAGAAATGTGCTCTTTTGCCGTTTTTCAAAAATTTGTTATCTAGATGTTTTTACCCTATAGGCGGGGTAACTTGGAACGGCCAGATGGCAAACAAGTTTAATGTCTTATTTTAATTTTAAACGTATTTTACAAAATAATTACACTTTTAACTAATGCTTAAAATCTACTAACGGAAGAAGATATTTTTATTATGGATTTTCAAAGATTTCCGTTTATCTTCCGATAGCAAAGTCATAAGAATCAAGGTTATAGCTGGTTATACATCTTTTTCCCTTTACTTTCAAATATTGTTGTTGAACGATGCTTAACTTTACTGGTTTTTGATACATCGGTATTGGACCTTTTTAACCCCGTACCTTCATATATTACTATCTACTTTTGGATAAATTCTGGAAAGTTATAACTGGAAAAATATTCGACAAAATGTCCATTTGATCGATACCAAATTTAGGTTCTGAATTTAAATAACATAAATAAAAAATAATATAACCTAGAAAATGTTTTATAAATACCAATGAGTATATAATTATACAAATGACATCTATCAGAGCACCGTGTTTGAGAGCCAAAAAGTGTATTTTCATATTAACATTTCAAAAAAGTTGATATTTTGAGTCTCTAGTA